CTACCTGGGCACCCGCCGGATGTGAATGGTATCAAAGGGCCTCTGAAATTCCCAGAGTATTGCACATGTTGTGTAGCGCAGATTTGCTCCCTGCTGTGGCTGTGGTAGCAAAGTGCAAGACTTGCGTCCTCGAAGAGTCATGCTTCGGGAGCCGAACCGGCTCCCGTGAGGATTTCTGTGTCATTTGCCTTGTCGGCTTTCGACAGACTTGTGAGCGCCAACTGTTCCACATGACATCTTGAGACGCGACAGAGATTGCACCTTGCCCAAGTCCCACTGCACCACTCCGCTGTCAACCTCGTTTACGTTGCTACTGTGGCTGCGGGTCCTGACTGGACTGCTGGAATCATGAACCAAAATGATAGCACGGCCCAGCATCATCCAGTCAGCAAAAACATCGCAGCCATAAGTTCAGGACATGCTGCTGCAAAGAACCATGCAAGAAGCATGTGCTGTCATGCTGAAGGCTGCTGTTCCACTATCAATCATTTACTGTCGAAAGTGCTGCCTGATTATTTTTTTGCTCTTGATGCATAGAGTTGTGTAGCGTGGACGCGCAGTTGCTTATTTCACTGATTGGCACCATTTTTCACGCCAGATCAGTAAAATCGTCTCATGTGTGTGCTCGGCGCTTCCTTAGCTGACAATCAAAGCTGGCCATGCGCAGTGTTTCGGAGAACAGGCTGACTTGGAAGGCATCTTCCAACGGGGGTTTCTCAAAATGCAAAGCTCGGATCCTAGACATATAGGGATGAGGAAGCTGTAGGAAATCTCACTAAGGATTATGAAGGATGAATTTTGAGAAGCACCCTTCATACCCTAAACCCTACACCCTGAATAGTAGCTTCCGTTTTCTTTTCCCTTATCCCTAAATAACCCCAGTATACTATGTAGTAGTCTCCATGTTCTTTTCCATTATCCATAAATAATCCCTAATATACTATGTCATGTAGTAGTCTCCATTTTCTTTTCCATTATCCCTAAATAATCCCTAATCATTCGTACAAAGCACCTCTGTAGATTGCTTGGTGTTTTCTGCTGCCAGAACGCCTGTTCGTCTTGCAGTCGGAGCCAGCATCTTCCACCAAAGACCTGAAACTTTAGGTCTTAGGGTGTAGGGTTTGGGGTTTAGGGCGTAGGGTTTAGGGTTTAGGGTTTGGGGTGTCGGGTTTAGGGTATAGGGTTTAGGGTGCAGGGTCTAGGGTGTAGGATTTAGGGTTTGGGGTGTAGGGTTTTAGGTGTAGGGTTTAAGGTGTTGGGCTTAGGGTAGGCAATGGAAAATCAAAAGGAAACTACTATGTACAAACCTATTAATACCTGAAGAATAGAGGGGTACTGGGAAGATGCAAAATCCAAAAGCACATTCACGCCGGGGTCTAATAGGGACATACACCCGGCTCTAAACCCTAAACCCCAAAACTGAAAGCAAACTATTTGCTATCGAGGCTGACGGGAGCACCGTTTGTGGTTTCCCCTACTTCCAACAGTCATACGGCAAAGTGGAAGGAGCCAGATTTGGGCTATATAGGCTGGCGCAAACCGAAACCCTAAACAAACAAAGCTCTGACCCTCAAATCCTAAATCCTAAACCCTAAATCCTGAACCACGTAGGGACGCAAAGGAAATCCATACCTCGGTCTTGACCCATCCCCACATGAACACAAAGGGATAAATCCCGCCACGATGATCTAGCTCATATAAGCGGACTCTAATGAGGACCCCACAAGGGAACCCCAAGAATACACTACAAGAATGATAGGAATTTGCCTACAAGGATCCTTATGTTCTCATCATACTTCTACTTGTGGTCGCCAATAGAATCCTTTTATGACAACCTCCATCAACCTCCAATAATCATGCCAGCTGCGGCGTCCAGAATCCCTGAACCCCGACCTAGAGACCCAGCGCCCCCCTCCCAAAGCCTCTTTGAAGCACACCCCCACGAACCCCAAACCCTGAACAGTCATGTTGTCTTGAATCAAGCCCAATCTCCCCCAGTATCCCCCTGTTATCCTTCTTCTCAACGTATTCTTACGTCCCTAAACCCAAAACGCCCAACCCTCAAACCCTAAACCCCTAAACCTTTTTATCCTAAACCCTAAACCTTAAACCCTAAACTGCGAGCGAGGGACAAGAGCGGCCAAGAGCACCAGGATCGCCCAGCGAGGATTTTCGTGTACCGTGGACAGGCAGCGGACCTGGGCTATGAGCTTGATAGGGCAGCTATAGAGGTGTTTATAAGGATTCTAAAGGGTTATATGGGGACATATACTCAAAGCAGTGTTAGGGGTTATATAAGGATTCTGTAGGGTTATATAGGGACACACGCTCAAAACAGTTTGAGGGGATATATAATAGGATTCTATACGGTTATATAGGGACATATACTCAAAGCAGTGTTAGGGATTTGTTACATAAGGATTCTATAGGGTTCTATAGGGGTTGCAGTAGTTAGATAGGGACATCTATCCCAAGAAAGGGGAATCAAATGGAATGCCAGGGGCGGTTGAAGGAGATAGGTGTAGGGTTTAGGGTTTATGGTATAGGGAGATATTGGGGAATGAAAAGAAAATGGTCACCACTATACTATTTCGAGTTCGGGGTGTTAGGGATGCATAATTCCCATCATGGAGACTCGCATGGACAATTCAAAAAAAATTGTAAGGTTTTATAGGGAAATATAGAGGGTAATGATGGATCATAGCATGGAAAAGAACATGGAGGTGGAAGCTACCTCAAGCTGCTATTTAGGGTTTTCAGAGTCTAGAATCAGCTTTACTGTGCAGGTACGGGGGGGATATAGAGCTTCCATTGGAAAAAAACACCAGGAACATGCCATGCAAACTTGGGGTTTAGGATTAGCTTGCGCTGTTTGTAAACAATGAAGGCATGGAAAGTGCAACTATATTGCAGTTGGGGAATATGTTGTGCTAGTACTCGTACAGGAAATCCGTTCCTCCATTATTCCTAGGTTGGGTTTCCGCGCCATGGGGGCTGGCCCCTAAACCCTAAGCCCCTAAACCCTGAACTTGACTGGGGCGTGCTTGCTGACAGGAGAATGTGAGAGTTGACAGATTTGTGGGCTTGCAGAACTTGGGGTTCCCGTGTTGGAGGTGCTTATCATGAGGGTTTGACAAATTTTGGGTATTTCTGGGATCTAGGGTTTAGGGTTCCATTCGAACTGCTCGTTGGGTGTTCTATCCTTACGCCAGTATACAGCCCACACAATGCTCATCTCCGGTGCGGCCTGCCCAATCATTCCTGGCCCTGTCCAATTTCACTTCAAACTCGAAGAGACTTAAATGACATCCTTTCTCATGGGGATTTTGGGGCATCATATCTTTAAGGTTAACTTACTTCAACGCAACATCATGCAAAACGGTATCTTTACCCCTAAGCTCTATCCCTGCCCTAAAGCCCTGAAACCCTCAACCCTAAACTTGTTCCCAATGATATTCTCATTACTATAAAGTTAGTGGTATTAGTATTATTACTATTATGGTTGTATCCAAGCAACCAAGCTGGCTTGAAGCTGAGGTGCAGATTGCCTTGGGGGCTTAGCAAGCTGTGGGTGCTTCCTTTTTTGAGGTCCCTACAAGGATACTCGGATCCTAGGATCTTGGTACATTCCAGGGTTTATGAAATGAAGGCATCCCGCTGTTGACAAATGATCCTATCCCGGAGGGCCTTCAAGGATTACACTGCTTCACCTTATGCAGCCATCAGAAGCTAGAGCACTGGCTTTGCAAAGCATGAGAGCATTTGGACATACCTGCACACAAAGAGGATTCCCGCGCCAATTTCAAAGTCCATTTTCTTTTGCATTGGATCCTCCACTGTTGGGCAAATATCTACCTCAGCGGTTTCCATTAGATTGTCTTTTCCCGTCGTTTTTCCGCCAGTGGGCTAATCTCAGAACAGACCCTATATAACCCTTAAATCCTAAACCCTAAACCCTAGGTTGGGCCTCCACCCACTAACAGTGACTACAAGAGATTATGGTAGTTATTAGGGCCCCTGTATATTCCTAATATGCCACTATTAGTGTGGGGGCCTAGCCCCAACCTAAACCCCCCATATGAGCTATAGTCTAAACTCCAAGTAGCCCCCTGAATGACCCCTATAATATTCATCTATCTAATCCCCCTTTAGGGAGTTTAGACTATAGTACATATAATCCCGATATCCGAGCCATCTTTGCCAGGAGGCTTGGCAGACTTAGCAGACTGAGCCTTTTCAGACCTGTCCAAACTTGCTGTTCTCGACATTGAGATGACATCGGGTTCTAGGGGCTATATGGGGTTTTCTAAAGATGTATAAGGTTTCATAGGGATGTCTAGGGTCTCCATAGGGATCAAGGGGTTTAGAGTTTTCGCACAATTGGGGGTGTTTTTGGGGGTATCCCAACAGCAAGGATTGTAGTATTTGGGTGCAAATATTGGGGCTTCACCCTTTATGGAAACTAGCATATTGGGACAGGTGCAAACAGGGAAACACTCTGTGTGTCGCAACACCTAAGCCCTGAACCCTAAACCAGATCGCCTCTCGCTCATCTGCGGCTTTGATGTTGTACGCTTGCCTTAGAAGATGGCAGGGCTCTGTGGCAGGAATAATGATTCAGCATCTGTCCAGTGGCGAAAAATGGCAAGTCCCCCAAATTGGGGACCCCAATGTAGACCCCAATATAATCCTCATTATAGGGACCCCTCCAACAAAGGTATCCCTAACTCGGGAAACCTTAAACTGTGGCTTCCGCGAAGCTCTGCTTGCATCTTGGGCGCTGAGACCGTTGGACGATGTCTCGGAGGGCGCACTTCGGGAGCTCCCTGAGCTTCGGCAGGCTTCCAAAAAAGCCACAGCCTTGTAGCCTCCGTAGTATAGGTTGAACCCTCTGAAAACCCTAAACCCTAAACCCCTAAAGCCTGAACTACTGATGTTTAATGGTCTTGGGCATTCTTTGCTTTGGCCCAGCTTATAGGGGAGCGGAAGGATACGACAGCCTAGTGGCGACGGGACGGCGCCTCGCTGATGGATGAATTCCTCGCAGGCTTGATATGAGGGCTTCCCAAAATTAGGGGTACCTTTGAAGGGGGTAATAGGGGTTATGCAAGGTATAAGGGGTTATAGGGGCTATATAAAGGTTAAGGGTTAAGGGATTAGGGCTTCCCAAAAGTTAGGGGACCCCTTTGGGGGTCCCTATAATAAGGACTATAGTATTTTGGGGTCTATATTCGGGTCCCCCTATTTTGGGAAACTACCATAATGATGTAAAGCACTAACAGTACTGTTACTGTACTGTTAATACTCCTACTATTCGTAGTAATTCTTTCCTTGCAGCACGAGTATCAAATTAAGCTGTCAGCACTGGTGTGATCATTATGAAGCTGTTATTACGTGATTACTAGTATGGCTACTGTCGTGGCGTAAGGAAGGAGAGTGCAAAAACTCCATTGGCCTCTGCACTGAAGTTGAGACCTGCTTGAATGCCGTCCTGCTCAGTTGCGCCGGAAGCGTCTGAGCTGAAAGGCCCTCGTTCTTCTTCTTCTTTTTTGGCTTCTTTTTCTTCTTGCTGACCTTGGCTACCAGGAAGGTGTCGTGTCTTTCATTTTCCTGCTCACTGCAGCTGAACAAACTTGATTCTGAACTACGAGTAGGTTGCATTCGAGCAGCATTGCCAGCACATGCCGCTTCTGCAAGCATATCCGGCAAAGATTCAGCAATGTCTGCCTGCCGGGGATGCAGTGTGTTGAGCTTCCATGAAGGGAGCAGAATCCTCGCATGAGCCTCCGGGGAGTCTGCGATCGAGCTTACCCGATCAATGCTGTCTGCCACCGTGGACAAAGCCACAGAATCCTTCGCCAAGATGATTTCAAACTACTCTTTCTCTTACCCCGCTGTCTACGTCAGATGCCATGCGAAAGCTTTCGGGAGGTTTGCCCTGAATTGTCGTGAGGACTTTACACAAATCTAATCTGCCTCTGCTTTGGCGTGCGTGGCTCCCTTTGAACTTCATCCCATGCTGAATGCTGCAACTTCCCATCCCATCCCATCGACCTGCGAGCAGTCCAAGTCCAAAGAAGGGCAGTCCGCTCTGCAGTGCGTGGCCTCGACCACTTCGGCTATGTCGCACTTCTCTTCGTATCTCTCCGGCTCCTCTTCTTCCTCGTGCATGCTGTGCGACTCCATATTCGGAGCCATGTGCGAATCTGTGGGCATCTCGTGTTTTGGCTCATCTTGGCCCACCGTTTCTTCTTCGATGTTCTCAGATTCCTTCCCCTCTTCCTCAAGAAAATTTTCAGCCTCTGAACCTGAGCGTAAGGCAAGTTTAGAACATGTCATGCCCGCTGTGCCAATGCATCTTGCCAAAGACCGTGATGTTTGCTGCTCGGCAACAGCTTGGATTCGCCGCCTCGACGCACGTGGTGCTCGTTGGTTGCGCGGATGACCTGATCCATGTCTGGCATGTTCACATGCGTCCAAGTCTTTCAACGACAGGGCCGAAGATATGAAGATGCTTGAACCGTCCAAGATGCGGCTCCAGGCTGCCGGGCGATGGCGAGCTGCATGAGCTCGGTGTCGCTCCCCTTGTGAAACAAGAAGGCTCAAACTGGGCAAGCAGTGTAAGCAACATCATCAGTGAATCCTGGATTCTGATCGGCGGTTCATACTCCCCAGAACACGACTTGAAAATCCCGTATCGAGATGTATCGAGACAGTATTGCAGGCAAGCGTCATGCTTGTGTTGACGTTCCACAGATCGTCTTCGCCATCCGAATCGTTTGCTATGTCCGCCCACCGTCTACGCGATGAGGACTTCGAATCAAACCTGCTAACCTGAGCTGTGTGAATTGTGGCAGGTTGCATGCTGCAACGGAGTCAAACGAGGTGCACATGTCCATTCGGCCGAGGCTCATCGTCCCTATCTGCTGGGCTCTCACCAACGTCTATCGTGGCGACTGGGGCGACTGGGGAGGAGACTGAGTCGCTTGCCGGGCTCCCCTTGCTTTTTGCATCTGGTTTTGCATCTGCGGTATCGGGCAGGCTGGTGCGACTCTTTCGAGCCTTCTCCTGCGGTAGTGCGGTCTCCTGTGCTGCTGTGAAGGACAGAAAACTCCAGGCTGGCAAATTCTAAAGTCTAGCATAGATGTGCAAGAAAATGGATGTACGATGTCTCTTCTATTATTCTAAGCCTTGAATGCTAATCTCCAAGCTCTAAGTAGCATCCATTATCATTTCCATCATCCTAGATCCTAAGCCCTAAACCGTCCTGCTGCTGCGCGGGTTCCGCAAAGCTGGGGGCTTGGGCCGGCAATGTCCTCTCATGGGAAGGAGCGGCGGCGAAATCCTAAGAGCAGGCATGGCCCAAGGAAGTGCCTTACAGATGCACCTTGCAACCTCCACAGGCTACAGCTGGGCGACTGTGTATTGATGCAGCTGCAGCAGTTGCGGCGCCAGCTTTGGAGCAACCGCAGGCGGCGGGGGAGGAGCTTGAAAAGTGCACATTGAGACCTGGGAAGCAAAGGGGATGAGCATGCACGAACGCTCTGTGAGCCTTATGAAGCGTCTCAGAATGCTGGGTGCTCGCGCATTTGGAGGCTGAATCGGCGCTGCGGTGGGTGGTGGCCCTTGAAGAACCGGCGCCATCACAGGCGCTGGAGGAGTTGGCGGCGCAAAGAAAACAAGCTGCGGCGCCTCTTGCGGAGGCAGCGGCGCGGTGCTGAAAATCCTCGGAGCCAGTGACTGTCTGATGTGAGTTCATCATGCCACCATAGGTTTTGCTGCTGTTCAGAAAGGCAAAAACTTGCAATCCAAGCTACGGCCTCGTGCCTCAGCTGACAGAAGTGCTACAAAATTTCATAAACACATTCGAACCCACCTGGAACCAGCTCTGAAAAGACATGTCAAAAACAAACGCTGCTCAAAGCACCGTCACAACCAACAATTTCAAATTACAGCCCAGCTCAGAAAGCCCCAAACTGAATTTGAACTCTCTGCTCGAAAGCCTGTCCTGGGAACACATTAAAATATGTACCCCATTATACTATAGTAGTTTCCATGTTCTTTTCCATTATCCCTATATAACCCCAATAATATACCCATTAAAAGTAGCTCCAACTTGGAGCCCCACAGATGCACAAGCAAAATCATGGAGAGTCAAGTGGAAAAGATTATGGAACATGAAATGGACATTAGGGTCATATGAGGCTTATATAGGGAAACGTAGGGATAAGTGGACAATCAAATGGCAAGCAAAATGGGGTTTGAAAGGGTTGTATGCTAGTTTCCCTAAACAGGGTGATTCCAGCATAGACTCGAAATTACCATGATCCGTTTTATAGCGACCCCCAAAAAGGTACCCCTAATTCGGGAAACCCTAAAACCTAATCCCTAATCCCTTTATATCCCTATCAATCCCCCTACATCTCCTACAACCCCGTTAAAAGGTACCCCTTAAAGTACCTAGCTCTGCTGTCACCTCCCTTCCCGCTAAAGTTGACATGCAAGGTCCCTTCAAGGGGTTATATGGGGAGTATATCCAGGTTGCAGGGATGAAGCAGAAAGAAAATCAAAACTGTCACCGATGAACTTGAAGTTAGTCTTGTTCCCACTCACTATAAGTAGAAGAACTCGCTGAAATCAGCCCTTCAGTCGGCATATCTCAGTGGGATTTGACAAGGCATGACAAGCCAATGTGGTGCATGCTCTGGAGCTCTCTTCTTATGGCAGACTTAGACAACTGCTGAATTGCCCATAAGAGCCCTTCAAGAGAGCCCTTCCCCTAATCATGAATGATCCCCCTAATCATTCTTACCATTTCCGGGAGGGGTTCATTATACCCTCAAACCTAAATGTAAACTCAACCCCAAAACAAAGCCCTTGCAGCCTTAGGCGCCCAATCTGGCAGAAGGACTGTTGTCGTAACATGGCTTAGGCCAGTTCATCACTGGCGACATCTCTCCAACCTCGAGAGCATAAGCTGGTGCTTCTCCCAGGGATGAAGCCGTGCCCCAAGATGTTTCATGCAAAGGAATTCTATGGTACTTTCCCAGAATGGGGGACTCCAATATAGACCCCAAAATGTTACAATGCTTATTACCGGGACCCCCAACAACTACCCCTAATTTTGGGGGGTTTCCCAAGGGTAAGCGACTTGCAGATTGGTTCGACTTGGCTAATGCTTCCAGGTGGCAAAAGTTGGCACGCTGTCATGCGGTGTCTGCCTCCTTTGTGGTGACAAAGGCATTCCTTGGATCTTGGACTGAACCGGCCAACATTTCCGAACCTCCAAGTGCACGCATGTCACATGTCGAACAGCTGCATTTTGCAAACACGATGCTTTAACGTCTGCGCTGGGGTGCAACCTAATATGCCCTAAGGCTGCATACGTATGCCTAAGCCCTATAAACCATAAACCCTAAAACCCTGCACGTCTTCAGCAAAGAAACCGGCTGATGCCTGCGACGGGCTTGATGTGGATTTCACCATCCCTGGCAGGTCTACTTGCGACCTCCCAGGGCGGTCCACAAGATGACCACCTTTTCCGAAGATGTACATTTCTAGGCTCGAATTCGCCGAGAGCAGTCCCTGCCAACAGTTGAACGATGATCGTTTCGGTTTATGACTTAGTTCTTGGCGGGGGCTGCTGTTTCTGGCTCCTCCCCTCTGAAGTCTGCGCCACCTTGAGCCAACTGCGGTTTCTAAGACTCTGGATCCAGCAAGGACATGAATGTCGCAAGTTAAAAATCAATCCAAGATAACGTCGTCTGAACTCATCCCTCCACTGTCCTGGACACCCGGTTGGCCCTGCGGATCTCCTTCGAGAACAACAATAGTAATAATAGTACTAAGAGTAATAGCAGCAACAATAGTAATAATAGTAATAATAGCAAACATAATAGTAGTAGGAATAATAATCATGATAGGGATCGGATTGTAAGGATTTTGACATGATTCTGGTGTCCAAAGCGCCTTGAAAGCAGACTTTGGGACCCGGCCTCAGGGTCGTCCTCAACGAGGATTCCCTGACTGGATTTCAAGCCTGGCTGTCAACTTAAACGCTCCCTCAAGGTTCAGGAACCTAAGCCCTAAACCCCTAAATCCCTATATCCCTATACCCTAAATCCCCCATACCCTAAATCCCTATACCCTAAATCCCTATACCCTAAATCCCTATGCCCTAAACCGCCATACCCTAAATCCCTATGCCCTCAACCCCTATACCCTAAACCCCTATACCCCTAAATCCCTATACCCCCAAACCCTAAACCCGCCGCCTTTCTCTTGCAGGAGCTTAACCAGCAATTGATCCTTTGAACGCCACTCAGCCTGCAGGGGCAACGTGCCAATATCACTCGATTATTACTATTGCTACGTGGGCTACTGTTAGTGTGAGTATTACTATTAGCAGTACGACTACTTTACCAGTAGTAGTAGTAGTAGTAGTAGTAGTTACTACCACTACTACCACTACTACCACTACTACCACCACCACCACCACCACCACCACCACCACCACCACCACCACCACCACCACTACTACTATTCGTTTTTTTCTAGTATGATTATTCGTACTATGCTTACTACTTCTGCAAGTCTGGGCTGGGAAGCGCCTGCCCAGCTTGTCCCAGGAATTGCGTGATCTCCGCCGGCGGATCATCCAGCACCTGCTGCAAGATGCTGCAAGTATCAAGAAGCCTACCTGACAGAGGCATAAGAAAACATTCCCTAGTAAGTGTGGCATGAAGGCACAAGGTGCAAGATCATCAGCAGTCGCAGACTCTACCCTCATCTGTCCTCCAGCGGCCTTCTTATCAAATGGTGACGCCCCGTAGGTGGTGCCGATATGTCCGTAGACCTGGAGCTTTAGATGTTAGGGCTTAGGGCATCGCTTCTTTGGCTAGACATTTGTCGAAAGGCCTGGCAACTAGCCACTACTCAACTGCAACATGGCGTGCAAGTCAGCTTTCATCATGTAGGCACGTTGATGAAGAACCCCTGCTCCCTTAAGTTAATATTAGGATCCTTACTATAATCCTCATTAAGGAGGGGGGCTAATTCATTGGGGATCTACATTAACCGACCCGGCCTGGCTGAAGTAGGGCCGAAGTCCCAGCTGATGCAGGCAGAACTGCACTGGGCCGACGAAGCCCTGACACGAGAAGCGCGGTCGGAGGCGAAGGCAACACATCCAAAGTGTGATGTAGGGGTTATATTATTAAGGGTTGTAGGGAGATTGCCCTTACAATGGAGAATCAGGTGGAAAAAAAACATGGAAAGTAAACTGAACGCGCCTTTCCACGGAAAGGTCTTCATCCAAACCCTTAACTCTAAACCCTAAACCTTAAATCCCTAAACCCTAGGTCTACACTGTGCAGAACGCGCTCTTGAATCTTCCGGGAGGGGCCTTTGTGCAAATCACCATCTCAGCATCGTGCGTCTGGAGGGTCTGTAGCATTTGCCGCACCTTGAACGCTGTGACTACGTGGCAACAAGCATCTCAATTCCTATGTATGTTTCATATTCTAGATATATAGGGGTTATGTAGGGTGATATAGGGATATATAAGGCTTGTATTATATATATGGGTCCCTAATCAATGGTCATGTTTTTCTTGAGGGGTGCAATGTATAATGTGTTATGTATCGACGCCGACTTTCTCTCTTCTCAGCTATAGTCTAAACTCCAAGTATCCCCGTTAATAACCCCTATAGTAGTCCCCTATATAATCCCCTAATTATATAACTCCCCTTTAAGGATTCTAGACCCTAAACCCTAAACCCTAGATTATATGGCCCTAAATATCAGCTTCCATTTTCTTTTCCATTATGCTACACAATCCCTAAACCCTAAACCCTACATAATCCCCTATAACCCCCCCTTAGCAGTTCTTCCCCTGCAGCCTCCTCCACGCGAGTGGTCCCACCGAAGGCTGCACAAGGAAAGCCTCCCTGGCAAAGGACTGAAAAACAACTTACTGGTTCTTAATAGTAATCATAGGAATAACAGTAGTAATAAACTGATAATACAAATAGTAATATTAATAGTGATGCTAATACTGTTAGTAATCGTAATAACAATAGTGATAGTAATAACATAGTAATACAATTCTATACAATTCTGACAGTTGTCGCCGAGAGCAACCCTGTGAGGGCTAAAAAATACTCACTGCGCGTGCTGCTGCCACACCGCTCCCTCAAAAAAGAAACGTGACCATTGGACCGGGACCCCTGAAAACCATTGAAAACCTATATGATCTAAACCCCATATGTTGGCATATAACCCCGATATATCCCCATATAACCCCTACAGCCCCCCTTGGATCGTATAACAAAGGCCCTGCCTGAGAGGCAAACTCCCCGGCACTCAGCTCCTGAATCCGCGCCACCTACCATTGCTGGGCTGGGAATACGGGAATATAAAATATTTTGGGTTATATAGGGATAGTCGAAAAGAAAATGGAAACTACTACATTATAATAGGGTATACGCGGTCTACTTACTCGTCTCCCTTGTTGTGCTTTTAACCGTTTTGTCAGAGGTGATGCGCAATGAACTTCTGGTTGTACTCGTTTGCCAGTCTGTCTGAGAGCATGTGACAACAAACTGCTTGCTGAGTGTTGGCTCACAAGCTTCAACAACTCGGGGGGCACAACCATCACGGTTCCCAGAAGGAGCAGACTTCCACTTAAACCCACGGAACCTTGACGGCAAGCCTCTGACTCTATGACATAGCAATGTAAAGTCAGCTTGTCATGGGATTTTGGGAAAGAAGTTCGCCATGCTCAAAAGATCGTGCCAAAACCCTTTGCTTTGGCTGCGTGATATCACAATAGGGACTTCTGGTCACAAGGCACAACTTCGAGACTCATGATGCTCTGGACCCAAAACATACATTCACAATCTGGCGTCTATTAGATGTATTGTGATGACGATGATGATGATGACGATGATGATGTGGATGCGTGGCTGAGCTGGCACACCTGACCCAATTCGGTCATCGCGTGGGGTTTCGGGATGCTGGCGAAGATCCCGTCCTGCATTGCTTCGGCTGCAGAACAGAGAAACACAATGGCGTGGAGTGAAAGTGTATGCAGCGCACAGTCCTGCTTTGGCCAGCCGGCAAGTGACTTGAAGACATGAAAGACCTTAGCTCACTGCGTAGCAGTTGCAGCTCCATGTCTCTTTCTGCTGACAGCTCCTACAACCATGCCAGGTACGTTGATTATAGCAGGTCATCTTGGTAGCTGGTACTGTAGCCGTACACGTTATCTTGATGGCCACTTCACTATGTCCTTTTATTATGCGAATAGACCATCACATCTCTGCAAGCTTCAGTTTGCAGAATAGACATGTTCTGGAGCTCTTTGGAGCTGTCTTCGCCAGCATAACTTTGACTCTACCTGCATTTTACCGTGGCATGCTGGCTGCTCCTCGACTCTTGACGTTGTCTGCGCAAATCCCCAGCCCTCAGCATCTGAACCTTGACACTTGCAGTCAAAGGCAAGGACAGAGAGCGTCTGGTCAAAGTCGAACATGTAAAGCCTTACCAGCTTATATGCGAAAGCAAGGCTTTTTGGCCAGCTATCAAATCTGTGCCAGTGTGACCTGACGGGCTCCAATGCAGAAGCCTGGCAGATGACAGAATCTCGCGAGTCGCGCCCAAAACGACTGGAAAAGAATCCCATACTGAAGCTGCAGGCCTTGAACATGTCGCAGATGAGCTAAGCATGGGTGCCTACTTCTAACTACGCATTTCAAAATTAAAGGCTACTATTGCTAGGTGGGCTGACGATGGTACGCCTGATGCTGCGCAGGTTCAGACTGGCATCTTTGAGCGTGTCGCATGGCACTTAACGGCGTGGGCTGACAAAGTGTGAAATCCAATTGCGCTGTCTCTGCATCTCTGAGAATCTTGCTTTCTGCGCGACGGGCTTCATATGTTTGAGCAAGAATTCTCCAACAGTTCGGACGGATCTCTCCAAGATTACTCGGACAGCAGATCATGCTTTTTCATCGTGCCCTGGCCGTCTGCCCGAATGCACAAAGGTTCAGCGCCGGCGCCGCAATCCGGATGCGGGTCAAGGCCTGACCGGAATAAGTGCCGGTGCCATTTGTAACATGCTGCACGCCAAGACCTGCCTGTGGTGAGATGTGGTTGAAGCTTACCTGGAGGAGCAGATGTGGCAATGTCGTGGAATGCAACGAATGCCTAAACCTTTGAACCCCAAACCCGAAATCGTGTGATTTCGGCAGCCGGGGAGCTCTCAAAGTGCACATGGTCGGGCAGCTTGGCAAAGCCCGCGCAAGCGCTCCCGCACCAGAGTCGCCAAAACAGTTTTCGTTTAGCGAAAGTAGGCGCAGACGCTTACAATCTCTGAGCCTCCCGGCGATGGCTCTTATGCCGACGTCCCCTATGCCATTGTCATCAAGCAGCAGCTCTTCGATGAAGGGAGTCAACGTGCTTGCCAGAACGCTAGCAGCAGCATTTCCCATCTGGTTCTCTTTCAAGGAAAGGTTCTGAAGATTTGGGCAGCGGGATAAAACCATTGATAGGGCCTTGAGACCATCCCCTAAGCCCAGCTTTGCAGCTCTGAGCGTGGAAAGCTTTGGGCACAAGGGCAGCTGCGAGGCTATGTCAGCCAAGCCTGGCTCCCCGAAGCCATTTGCACTGATGTAAAGTTGCCGTAGCTCAGGGAGCCTTGCCAGGGCATTGGCCAGGTGAGAAGCCCCAAGATCACCGATCTTGTTGTGGGAGATGTCCAGAATTTCGAGACTGCTGGGAAGCTTTCCCGCAATAGCCTCCATACCATCATCTCCTACTTGATTCTCCGAGAGCACCAGCTTCACGAGTTGCTGGCTATGCATGAGCACCTCAGCTAGCCTCAGCGCGCTTACGTCATCCCAACTCCGGCCAGAAAAGTCCATCCACTCCAGTGCGCCGACCGTAGCTGTGAAAGCAGCTTGGTACAAGGACTCTGCCAGAGAGACCATGTCGCAATCCTCACCCGTGTTTTCGACCAATGACTTGAAGGCAGTGGGAGTCATGGGTGGGCCAGACTTCACCTGGGTTGCTGTTAAGGAGCTTAAATGAAGTTACCATAGTATGGGTGTATGACAAATAAAAGGGTTTGCTCTAAAATAACTTACAACCCTCAAGAAGGAAACAAGGGCACTACTTTCAAGCTCGAAGACTGAACTCCTGGCCTGCCACGCTTGATGGACGACGGCAGCGGTCGAGCAGGGCATTGCCTGTCAAATGCAGATCGAGTCGGCTGGTTTTGAGGTGGCAAAGATCCACTCTTGTCAGGCTTCCTGTACTCACCAGGACCCGCTACCTGTTTGGCATCCACCTGGCGAATGCACACAGGTCCTGAGATCACGTCCCCCTTCAGCAGTTCCACCCACAGGCCTCCGCCTTGCGTAGGCAATTCCAGGGCCAGTACGGTGTTCCTGCCCTTGTTGTACCGGTCTATGTGAGTGGGGCTTTCAGAGTCCACCAACACCATAATCGAGGTGAACACACAGTCTGGGTCTTTGCTTCGCAGGAGTTTGGCTGCAAGGCTTGCAAGCCACGGGCACGCATGGGTAACACGGGTAATGCCACTCTGGCCTCCATGCGTATACGCACCCAGGCAAAAGCTGAAACCTTTGTCCTCAGAGAACCTTGGCTGACTGCCCTCAGGCTGTGCACTCTGAAGAGCCTTGGCAACAGAGACAAACACCTCAGCGGCGGAACTCCACTCAAAGCATTCGCACTTTTCCTTGCACGACTGCTCTAATCCGGCAAGCTGGCCGCCGGGTGGCACGGTTACCTGGTAAGCCTCACCTGGCTTGTCTATGAACAGCTGGTGGTCTCCGGCCACGGCAGGAGTGCTGGATGTGCATGGCAGCAAGAGATGGCCAGACATGGCCAATTCCAGTTGGAAACTTTCGGACCCCGGCGGGAGAATTAAGGTTGGCTCGCCAGGACCCATGAAATGAAGCTGCTTCTTGGACAAGTCGAGTATAGCCCTGTTCTGCTCAAGTGCACGGAGGCCAAGGAGCGCCGGACACGCGCTTTGGGTGACAACAGGGCTTGTGTAGGTGCCAGCGGACACACTGCCATCAGTGCGGGTCAAGCTGATTGGCAGGCAGCAGTCTTCAGCACACAGCTGAGCACCTTTGCCAACACCTCCTACTTGCAATGGCGAACTGCGCTGCATCATGGTTGGCGGCTTCTGTACCTTAGAGACGGCTTCCTCTAGCCATTGAGCTCCAACCAAGTTTCCGTATGACCCCGGGTCCGCTAGTGAGCCAACCCTACCGTCGGCAAGCCGGACATTGGAATGGTAGGCACTGGCTGATTGCGGTGTGCTGCTTAATGCCTCGTCAAGGTGCGACGGAACGGGCCACCACGGAAAGGCTTCCTCAGGCGACATGAACTCATCGGGTTCAGGACGATCTCGTGAAGGAGTGGCTGGCTCATCCTCCCGTGGTGCTTCATTAATCTCAGCTGCTTCAGGCTCAGGAGAAGGAGTGGATTCAGGCTGCGGGACACGCCATGTGCGCATGACATGTGAAGACGCACGGCAGTTAGGGCACTCCAATGTGACCTGATCACCCTCGTAGTCTGCACCCATCTGCATTGCTACCTCGCCAAGGCACATGCTATGGAAGCAATGGCCACATGACATCCGACAGACAAGCGCACATGGACATGGCCTTGATACCTTGGCTGAGGAACCTGAGTAGTCATTGAGGGTGCGGCAGAGGTGCTTGAAGCTGACTGATGGGCTGCTAGTCTGAATGCATGAACCTGACTGAAAGAGCTGAGGGCCGCGTCAGGCACTTGAGGCGCTGCAGGTATACCTTGGGTTGGACCTGGGACAAGGTATGGCTGAGGCACGGGGTTTGCCACACCGGAACACTGCATGAACACTGAGGAAACCTGAGTTTCCGGGGTTGCACGGGTGTGATGTCCACGGCGCGGCCCCTACACTAACCTTGCCTGTGTTGCTGCATGAACCTGAGCAAATGCTTGCTGTGTTTCCCCGAACCACCCGGGGGCCAATGGTGCGCTGCTTGCAGAGTGCATGGCTGGCAATGATGGAGGGGGAACCCGAGGTCCTACACCCAAGCTATCAGAGAACGAGGTCCTAGGGCCTACATCACCCAAACCTGGGACTACCCACCTATCCCCTAGGGTTGGTGCACCTTCCTCTGCTTGCGATGCCTCATTGTCGTGCAGCCACTGCATCCATGGATCGGGATCCTGAGTCCAAGGATCGGGCGTAGCATTGGGAGCGCGCGCTGAGGCGACAGAGGCTGCATCCTGCGGGACAGCAGAAGGGGCTGCAGAGGGTGGGACAGATGGGCCAGCGCCAGTTCTCTGTTCGGGCCTGCTGGAGGTCATTGAACGTGGGGTGATGGGAACCCATGAGCTATCACTCTCGAAAGCTGCAAAGTGCATGCCAGCGCTTGCTGGCTCAACAGTGAATGCAGGAGCTGCACGCTGTGGCTGGGAAGAGGAAGAGGCCTGTCCTGAGTTATGCTCTGTGCGACGCGGGCACCGCGCACGGAGATGGTCACAAGTGCTGCACCTTAAAGCCTCTCCATCTCGTCCACACGGGTTTTGCTGGCGGCCAAACCCTTTACCTGAACTAGTCCCTCCCTTACCCTTACCCTTAAAATAGGCTGACTGTTGAAGGAGACTATCAATGTTCAGATAACTGTTGCGCTTGCCCTTGCCCTTGCCTTTGCGCTTGAGCACACGGCGGAGAGACCTGACGGGTTTGCCGGTGAAGCGACGCCATCTCTTCTTAGCCTGCTGGTACTGCCCAAAGATATACTCATCGGCCTGACTGTTGGTCAGGCCCTGCAGATCATCCATAGGCAGGGGTTCATCCCGATCTGAGCTCGTCTCAGAATCTGTGCCTGAGACGTCACCCGTGCGAGTGGCAAATGCCCAGTCCGTAGCTGCTGAGGGACCACCTACATTGGCTTGGTAATCCCAAGGCTGTTGATCAGGGAGTGTCTGCCTCGGCCATGAACGCCTGACTGTAATGCGCTTGCTGCCTTAAACCTGATGATATGTTATTGGGGCGCCGTTCCACAATGTGAGCCATCCTCCGAAGATGGTGACAAAGCTGGCTGAACTCTTGGTCGCTCGTCGGCAACCGCAGTCCAAAAGGCTGAGTCAAAGTCTGGAATTGGTCACTTGACACACCACAAGAACGCAACAAGATCAAGGCTGCAGTCTCAATCGACACGGCTCCACCGCCCTCCCGTTGGGTGCTGGCGTGTAATGTCGAATCGTGAAATCAGTGCATCCACAGTCTCGCCCTGGCGACGCGCAAGCAACAACAAGTCTTGTGCAGCTCGAAGGCGGTTTTCTTCGTCAAGCGGTGCGAACCTGGCACTCAAGCCACGCAGGAGGAAACTGACGGGATCCAAATGTTGACCATTAATGGTCCCACCATTGTAAACCTCTGCCGGTGTCAGAGTTCTTGCCAAGTCACGGGCAGCACCGCCCAACTGGGAAATGATTGCTGCAGTTTGCTGGGGGGCGCTCATGTCAGTACAGATTGTCCAGAGCATCAAATCCTGCATCCAAGTACGGAATGGCAAGGTTGTTTCCATCGCCGGTTCCCACCTGGGTGGGAGTCGCATGTTCACATGGGCTCTACCGCCCTGAGGCGGCTGAAACATACATCCGACTGTTGCTGCAATAAGGAAAAACGGAATAGCCAACAGAACAAAGTGAAGTCGCTGTACGTCCAGAAAGAAGAAACGTCCTGAAGTCTTAATAGCCTCGCCATGTAATTCTCCAGAACGCGTATCCTCCGGGACTCCACCCCTGATCCGGTTGGGACTTGCATCTACGGGGCCGGACACAGTGACCGAGGCTCTGAGCCCTCCGTCAGTGTGGCCGACTACCGAAGATTGCCCGCACAAAAGGGCCATGACTACAGCTACAGCCGGAAGCATCATTGCCCTGCCCGTGGCAGAGCTCCGCTACCAGCTCTAAAATAACTTACAACCCTCAAGAAGGAAACAAGGGCACTACTTTCAAGCACGAAGACTGAACTCCTGGCCTGCCACGCTTGATGGACGACGGCAGCGGTCGAGCAGGGCATTGCCTGTCAAATGCAGATCGAGTGGTTTCCTCATTATTCCTTATAGTAACCCTAAACCCTATACCCTAAACTCTGATCCTCATAAACCCCAAATCCTATGTACCCTTATTCTAGCAACTGAATTGAGTAGTGTTTTTTGGTGGTTGAACCTAGTAAGATGATATTCCTTATATAAGACACTATACCCCAAAAGGAGGATAGAATCTTACTCTATATTGGGTACCATAGTATCCCCAAATAAAATACTACTCAAATCCTATAGCCCTAAACCCTCATCCCTAAACCCTAAATAGTAGTTTCCATTTTCTTTTCAGTTATCCCATTATAACCCCAATATTATTTAAGTTCCTTTACAGCAACCCAGTCACCGGCGGAACTGGGCTCATGGCCTCGCCTTCCACCACAAGCGACTCTGAGGAGCCCAAGCCACCCAGGCCGGCAAGCATCCGTTGCAGGCATGGCCACACATGCTCCAAGCCTTACAGGATAAATGGCCCAGGGGTTTAGGGTTAATGAAAAGGGGGATAGGATTAATGGCCCAGGGGTTTAGGGTTTAGGGGGTCTGGGCTCATGTTTCAATTACTGGGGGTTACTAGGGAATAAGGGAATGTACTCAAATAGGGTTTAGGGCTTAGGGTTGGTAGGGAAGAAGTGCACATTATTGGGGAGAATGGAAGAGAAAATGGAAATGGAAGCTACTACATGATAATCGGATATATATATATATACAAAAAGGGGGTAGCAGGGAATAAGGGAGCATATTCTACAGTGAATATGTAGGGACTCATGTCACCTTATTCCCCATGAAACCTAAACCCTACAGTATATGCATATATATATATGTGTGTATATATATATGCATATATACACATTTTATGTACATGTATATACTTTCATTATACGTATACATATACATCTACATATATATNNCTCTCCCCCCCCCCCCGGCAAGGTTTCAAAGGGATTATGTAGGGATTGCATGCCCATATGCCCCACTAAGCACCAATGAGAAACGTGAGCTTGGCATAAACCACTTTGTGGTACTGGTCGACGCGTACCACGCACACATGTCCCGGAGGCTCCGATGGTACGTGGCTTCTTCATCTGCTGTTCGCGGCTGCTGATAGAGGCTGCACCAGTCAAGAAAAATTGCAAAGTCCGCACTGGGCTCTTCGGAAGAGAGTCGTTGGCTGTGAACCTCCACCATTTTAGACAGAAGCTCCTGCGGGGCCAGACCACACAATCACATGCCTCACACTTGACCACACGGACGTGCTTCCTAAGATGCTGCAGAGGATCCACCATCTGATGCTCAGGATCTGGATGCTGCCCTTCTCGCCAGAAGTGGGACACCACTAGGAGTCTGGAAGTCACGTTGCCGGTCAGGTTGCCGAAATCGTTCCAGAAGGCCTCACCGTGTCTTGACGGACTCGCGCATTGCACAGAATCCTGCTTGCAACTGTTGTGCTTTGACACGCACCTCTTCTATGCGGATAGCGTTATCTAATTAGAAGTGGGCCACCTGCCTTGGGCGGCAGCTCCTGGCGGCGTGGCAAAGGCCCCGAGCGTCCGCGCAGCCAGGACGAGCGCAGCAGCGCCACGTTTCCCTGCTCCACGGACCTTGAGGCACCAAAGCTCCGTCAACAATGTAGCACAGAGTCCCTTCACTCTGGTAATGTACTGTAGTCTAAACTCCTTANNACATAGGGAACTACTATAGGGCTTATCAATGGGGATACTAATCGAAGCTGGCAAACGTTGCAGACAGAAGCTCTGGCTGCCGGGGTGCCGCTGCAAGACAGGCAAGCCGGCAAAGTCCTCGACGTTCTCCTGTGCTGCAAATTGATCACGGCAAGTCGTTTAGCTCCCCCCATGAAGGGTTCAATTGGCGAGTTGGCCTTCCAATCACCACTTGTGTTCGGCTCCGATGCGGGTAGGTTGTTCGCCCGATACCTTCTGCACGCTACTGGGTACATTTCCCCTACTTGCATCTGGTTTGTCTAGAAAATTAAGGTGAGCCAAGACGCTCGCTCTGAGGAATCTCATCCTGCTCTGCGGTGCTCGAGTCCTCACTTCACGTGGCTGCCAAAGGCGTAGGGATGTGTTGTCCTCTAACTGGGGGCCCAACGCTTGCTTGAATGACCTCTTCGCCATGAACAATTTGTAGCACCTCCTCCTGAAGGGTTTATAGTCCCCACTAAGTAGATAGAATATGGCTTTGGGTATATTATAGTAAGATCCCCATATACCCCATCTTCCATCTACTTAAGGGGGACTATAGGTTGAACAGCTTCCATTTCCTGATTGCCGGTGCAGGTCAGGTCGCCTCCTGGATTGTGTTCCGCAGATCTGCTGCTTCTGCCACCAGCAGTTCTGCCTTCAAGAAGGCCTTGCGGCATCAGAGTTATTTTGCCTTGAGACCGCGCCCTGTCCTGCCTCCTCCAACTGGTTCAGCTCCTTTTGTGGCATGACTCTCATACCAGCTTATCTGTGACGCCTACGCATCTTTC